CCTCTTGGCAGAGCAGTTATCATCAGAGCGTCGTGGACTCCTTTCTGGTGTCATATTGCTCAACTAGATTATTTAAATCGTTCCTACAGACGGCGCCAATTGTTGATGCGTGGATTTCGGTCCTCTGGTTCTCCTTCTCGCGCCCACCAAACTTGTTGATTCGGGACTAGTACCTGCAAAACCAAATCGAGTTAAACCGGTGTGACTCTAGTCACACGGGCTCCGATGCTTAAGTTAGCAAGAGAATGACGTAAATGTAATCAGCTTTTTGATGCCCCTACCTCTAAGGCTGGATCTCTACTTATAGCGTGAAGGTGTTCTAGAACTTTCCGTAGCTAACCCTAATTCACCGTTACAGGGCCTGGGCGAAACCGTCGATCGAAGATGGGGGATCATTGGCTGGACCGCGGGTCGAGCACTGGGTCGGGACCGAGCCCCAGGTTGCGAGCATCGGGTCGGGACCGAGCCCCTCGTGGATCAGTGGGCTTCCCTCCGATCGTAACCTGTAGCTCGACTATCGATTCCCGTTGCATAACAAATATAAAACCATGGGGAATTGGCTTGTAATATTAATTGGAAATAAATATATGAAGAAATTAATTAAAATAAGATGAGATTTGTAATATTAATCATTTGTCACTGTCAAATAAAAGAGTGATATTGTAACTCAACTTTTCTGGGTGCCTCTTTTTTTGGGTTTAATTTGAATCTCTCTTCTTAGCCAATTATTTTAGACCTGAAATTTTGGATTAGTTTCATTTTTGTACTTTAAAAAATAATTATTTTAATCGTTGAATTTTAAGTAATAGCTATTTTAGTTTTTACTAATTTTTTTCTGCTTAATATCCAATACAAAATACTTGTAAAGTAATATATTAATACACATACTTAAAAAGTTAAATTTATGTGATATTCAGAAACTACGATATACATTTTGAAAGTTAATGGCAAAAAATAGAATAATACTTGCTTAGTAAATCACCATTAAAAATTTGAAAACTATTTATTTAAAGAAAAACAAAAAGAAAAAATATATATTTTTCTCTTTTTTTTCTTTTTGCATTATTTTATGACAAACTAATTCGGAGAATTTCTGACAAATGGGGAGTTTTGAATTTTGCAATTTGTTTAAAATATTCAATAACTTATTTATAATAAAGAAATTAATTTATAACAAATACCCTTTAATCCAAAGCTATGACAATATTTCTATAATTTCATCGAGTGTAGTGTTGGGCTGAAATGTGATCGAAAAAAATATCATATTTTAGATTTTAATTGAAAAAATGAGATAAAAAAGGCAATGTGTGTATCGACCCATGCAGCGCCGTTGATAACAGGTTAAGTATACTGCTTTCTCTCTCCTACTTGTCAAAAATATAATAGCTTAGTCAACAAAAGATTTCTACTCTTGTCAAAAAAAAAAAAGATTCATACTCACATAATTTATTATCTATATATGTGCTATAGAGGAGAATCTTTGCCTTCTAATTTTGCCCTCCACCTTTTAATAAATACCCATTTAACCCTTAAAACTTTCGTGTGATGCAACTCTTGGATCGAGGTGTCTGTTGAGAGAATTGATGTGTTCATTTACATATGGATGCGATTGAGATTGAAATTGTTTATATATAACACAACAGACTGATGGATTTTTTTAGATAGATAAGTTAATCCAGGATGTGTGATTCGATGAAATGATATATCAATTTCCAAATAGGTGTGATTACAAACATCTATATAGCAGGAAAGAAAACATCATGCATAAAATTGTGTATTTTTTATCTCTCAAAATGTCTATAAAGGCTTTTCTCTTGCAGAAAAATCAAAACTTTTCAAAAAGAACGAAAATTAAAACTTTTCGTTATTTGCAAGGGACACACTAAAGATCCAAAAGAATCCATAAATTTATTTGATTTGATGATGATGTAGAGTATAAAATTACATTTTCATACTAATATATTAATGATTTATTTTAGTTTTAGTGTTGGTATTATTCTTAATATAGACTCTTGATTTGTTACTATCATAGGTCTTAACTACTTTTAAATTCCTTATGTGTTTATTTTTATGTTTATGTCTTTATTAACTAGACTTTCTAAACTCAGGAGTTAGTTTTGAAAATAATTTTATGGGTTGTGATCATGTTTGAGTACTTGACAATGAGTGTTTATTACTTGAATTGTTAAATTAATTATTTTACATATTAGATTACTATATTAATTTTCATATTATACTTATTAATTAGACTTTTGCATTCCGATTTTACCATTTAATTTTCAAAAAATTATATCTTGTCCTTCAATTTTTGGTATGTTGACAAGAGCAATTATTCAAGTAAATATGTACGTCTAGAGAAGTTAATCTCATGGGTGTGGTTACATAAAGAAGAGTGTTATCATCCACATATGGTGTGATCCATAATACAATATAAAGTATCACAATCAAACGGTAGAGACGTGTCTATGAAGGAGACAGTATGTCTCTTATTTTACGTTTTAAATTTCCATAAATTCATATTTTAGTTTTTTAAATGTCATTTTTAATATAGTTTAAAAATAACCTTTAATTCTACGTGCATTGCACATGATTATTTGCTAGAGACAAGACTGTTCGAGTTAAAGTGTATGTTGGGAGAATAAATCTAAAAGAGTTGTGACCATTCGATGAAACAATAAGTTAATCTAAAAGAGTTGTGACTATTCGAGTGAAAATGTGTGTTGAGAGAAGTTAATAAGATGAGGAGTGCAATTGTTTGATAAAGTAATGCATCCATCCGCATATAGGTTTCATAACAAATCATCTATAAAACGAAAGATTACGTCTTTTTATTCTTTGACCTAAAATTCATTTTCAAAATATAAATGAAGGTTTTTATTTTCTTCATTAGTGAAAACTGAACCATGTCAAAAGAATATTTGAGAATTCATACACTTATTTAATTGATTGCGAGGTAAAGTATACAATTATGTATTTGTGTTATCTTCAACTTTTATTTTTTTTAGATTATTTTAATCTTTTTATGTATATTACTTTTAGTTATATATTCATGATACGTCCATATTTTAATATTTAGTTAACGTTATTTTCAAGTTTAATTTAATATTTAATTAATGTTGTTTTGATGTTTTAAAATATATTCATGTTATTAGTTTTTCTATTTATCTTAATATGACTTTTTGATTGGTATTGCTCTTATTTTATTATTTTATTTTTTTGGTCGTGTGATTTTTTATCTCATATTTTTCAATGATTTAATGATTTAATGGCAATAGTAGCATTTAGAAATTATGTTTAGTAGTAATTTTATATCTTAATTTTTTAGAGATATTATATTAAAATATTTAAAACCACGTGCAAGACACCTGATATTAACTCGTTGTCTAAAATAGAATAAACATGAAAGTTTAGGGACGAAAATAAGATTTAAAAACTTTTTATAAATTCTCTCTCTAACTATGATAGGTTGGGTTGCTTTCTCTATCTAACTATGGACAATTGGGTTGGGCTCCATCTAGCCTATGACTATGTATATGGCCCAGTTGGGTTGTGTAGCTCCTACCTTGGGTCCAATACCCAACCAAAATGAACTCCTAAAATGGCCCAGCTTTAATTTTAGGCCCTATTTTATCTCTCTATCTCCCCTTAGAAAGGAAATTTCTAAAAATAACCCAATCATCTATGAAGATTTCTATCAATGATTTGCAAATGTCACTAATATTTGAATTACATTGTAGCCCTCTTGTTAAGGAAAAAAAAAAAAAAAGAAGAGTACTTTTGCCGACTCAGACTTGTTTTAGTACAATAAGTGAGGGTGAGATTAGAACTTACTTTTTAGTCATAGACAAGTATTAGTTACTGCTGAACTAAATTAATATTGGCGGCTAATTCATGCTTTGAAATCACCGTAGTAGGGATAGACAAAAATCATTTGAAGAATCTCATTAATAGGTTTTTTTTTTTTTAAGATAAAAGCAGTAATCTTGCAACGATTTGGAATCCAATGGAATTCGTGGCTTCATTTTCTGTTTTTTATTATGAAATAATTTTGTAATTTTTGGTTGTTTTTGACCCATGACTTATTGTTGGTGAACTTTGTTCTTTATCTTTAGGTAGAGTTTGGAGCAATAATAAAAGAGGCTTAGCATGAAGTAGAATTATATATATTTTTTGAAGTGGGCATTAGAAAAATGAAAATAAACTTGACGGATATAAAAAAAATATAGCATGATGAATGTCAAAAATGCATGTAACTCTATGGTAAGGGCATCTAACTCAATGGTAATTGACATATATCTCAAACTATGTGAGTTATATGATCTAACTAAAAGATTTTTATTTTCAATTGACATGTTCCCATTACAATAGTTAATATTTTTTTTTTATAAATTATTATAATGATATATTTGTACTTATATGATCTAAGATTTATTTTAAAAAGATGTTCAACGATATAAATGTAATTAGCCATATTTCGTAAAAAGAATAAGCTTAATTTGACATAAAAGTTAAAATTATTTAACTTAAATAAAAATACATTTTTAAAACAAACAAAAAAATATACAAAAATCAAAATAGGCTGAGGTTGGATGTCTAACTTAATTTTGTATTTTTTTATTTAAATTATATTTATTTTATTATTATTTTTTTAAATTTAAATTATTTGTGTATTTTATTTTTTAAATTACATTATTTTTTTTTTCTATGCAAGGGTGGAGATCCAACTAACACATAAGCAAATTACATTATTCTTAAACTTTAATTTTTCTAATTTACCTTTTCATTTTCTTTCCTTAAAAAAAAAGGAAAAAAAATTATTATTATTATTTTGGCTTATATAAACTCGCGTAATTTTTTGCAGGCGCGGTTTGATATTCATTGGGAAGACGAACAAGAGACCTTTCTTCTACGTATAATCAAATCAAGCAACACTAAGGCTTCCACCAGTAATCCGCTCGAAGAAATTTATTGTCTTAACCATTGCCCCCTTTCGATTCTTCACTCCTTCAGTTCTGTATCATCGATTCGCGCTCATTGCCATTGCGATTCACTAAGAATCCCCCCTTCTCTTGCCTTCAATCCAGTTCTCTGCATCTTCTTCCAATTTTTCAGGTTCTTTCTTGCGAGGTCATGAACTATGAAGCCTCCGACAGTAGCGGTAAGTTTGAATTATTCGGGTTCTGTCGAATTGGAATGTTCAGTTCTTTCGAATGAATTTTGGGTCTTTCTTTTCTTCTTCTTTAAAGCGTGGTTGGGTCTTTATTTGGACAATTGGGAGTTCATTGATTTTTTTTTCCTGTTAAGTGGAAGTTCCTGATTTGGTGGTTACTTCGACGAGGGCTTGAAAATAGGTTTTCGGTTTTTTTGGGTGTAGTAACAGAAATAGGGGTTTGGGGTTACTTCGGGGCGGTATCCATGGCCCGAAGGTTTAATTGCGTAATTCCTTTGTTTTTATGAGTTCTGGGTTTTATCTTTTCCGTTAATTTAGCTTTAATTGTTGCGTTTAGTCGAGAAATTTTTATGCGAGAAGAAGGGCGAAGGGAGAATGGAGATTTTAGGGTATTGTGCTCGATCATGGTGGGTAATCTTTGTTCGCTTTTCCCCAAGGGCATAAGAAGGCATGCATGAATGAGAGAAAAGGAAATGATGGACCTTCAAGCAGAGAAGTATTCCATTTGCGACTGTGAAAGATTTAGCCTTTTCTGGATTATGAATTTATGAGTTCCTTCAATGGCTTGATCAGGATTTCATCATTGTAGTAACAAGTTTTTAGGAAGCCAGAGGATATTATCGGGATATAGCCATGTTAATGGGAAAAATGATGGGTTATTCTAGGTGTCACGTCCTTTAAAATCATGTATTCTGTATATGAAATAACTGCAGGTACTGATGATGATCTTCCACCATCACATCGTAACAGAGTTTCTAGAGGAGGCCACATTTCTGGAAAGGGGATGTCTGTTTTGAGTTCTTTCCCATACACTAGAGTACATAATGATATGGAGGCCCAAATTCATCATCTCGAGCAAGAAGCTTACTGCTCGGTACTGCGTGCATTTAAAGCCCAAGCAGATGCCATTACCTGGGTCTGTCCATCTTTTTTAAGATTTGCTAAAATTTGTACCATGTAGGTTTTGTTTTAATATGGTTTCACTCAGGTTCGTGCTCTCTGTTCGCCAGGATAAAGAAAGCTTGATAACGGAGCTTAGGAAAGAATTGAGAGTATCGGATGATGAACACAGAGAATTGCTCGCCAGGGTTAATTCTGATGATATCATACGCGAGATTAGGTTAGGATGTTTCTAAGGCAATTAAATTTTCTAATCCAATTGGGAGACGTGTGTTTTTTCAACTCTATTCTGTTATGTTTTGAGATGGTGTTAGGGAGTGGAGACAGGCAGGTGGTCACCAAAATGTGAGACGCAGTTCATCTCAGCCGGTTCATGATGTTGTTCCCAGTCCAACTGTTTCAGCATCCCGTAAGAAGCAAAAAACAAGTCAATTGGTATGAGTACTTTTGTTGGCTTTCATGTCTCTATCTGGATTTGAAACCATGTTTCTTGTTGGATCAAAAGGGTTTCCCCCCTTTTGGCATAAGGTCTGAGACATGGTTGTCTCTTATTTTCTGCTTATTTTAGCTCTATACATTTTTTTCTTATTAGAATACACCATTGCCTGGTTTTTCGTCTATGAAACCGATGCAGTACTCTTCCTCTGTTCCTGCTGGAAGTAGACAGTTAAATAATCATAGTTCTTCTGGTGCCCTTCTGGCAAATGAATCTGCCGAAGCTCCACCATATGACACATTAATTGGAAGGAAAGTGTGGACCAGGTGGCCTGAGGACAACAGCTTCTATGAGGCTATCATAAAAGATTACGATCATGTTAAGGCATGTCTGAGTCTTCGAAATTGCTCTTATGTGTTTGCGTTGAACTTACTTTTTATTTTTGTTCCACATATATTAGATATTTTTTTTTACGCATCTCACTACTTCACATCGGTTAAGCCTTGTTTTGCCCCCCACCCCAAAAATAATGAAGGAAAAAAAGTTACTACGTGCTAATTGGCTCTTCAGAAATATATTGATTTTATGTGTTGATTGTCCTCTGTTCCTTCAATGCTATATTTTCTTTTCAGGGCCAGCATGCTTTGGTTTATGATATAAATACAGCACGAGAGACGTGGGAATGGGTTGATATTAAAGAGGTATGCTTGGGTGTTGTATTCTTAAATAATTTCTCTACAGATTTGGGTGAGATTTTATTTGTTTGCGGAATTGTGGTATCTATGGAACGACAATTACAGAATATATTGACATGGATTAAGAAATGCACTAATAATTCCGTGAGATTCAACACTGTTTTCTGGTGCATGAATGATGAAATATGCTACTGAGACCTCTACATAAATTATATCCTAATTGCAACTTTGGCTATTGTCGGAGTTTTAAGCCCTGTTTTTCATACACTAGTACCTTGAGAATATTATATCATATATAGGGGTGGGGTTTTGAACCTAGTCCTCTTAGAGGAAGTAGGGATATCTTAACTGCAAAGCATACCCTATACCTTGAGTTGTACCACTTCCTTATCTTAACCACTTCTTCATATGTGCAAATGTACAAATGGATTTGAACCAAAAAGTGTAACGTTAGAGAACCTAGTTTGGTTTGCTAATTCCTCTGTGATTTCGTAGTAGTAATGATTTCCCTATCAAAATTTAACTCAATTGACTTGAAAGCCCGATATGTAGGCTAGTCATCATTGCTCCAACCTAGCCTCCATTGTTTGGTTATATTTTCAAGTTGGAATGTTTCCATCTGCAGTTATTTGGATGAACCATCATGGGTAGGCTTAGTGGTCAAAGAAGGACTCATGTAAATACTAAAGGGCTTAGAGGGAATGAATTCAAACCATGGTGGCCACCTGTCTAATGATTTGCATGAGGTCTTGAAATTTTTTATACAAGTTATAGACGTTGCTGCTAAGGATGTTATGCTGTTTGCATTAAGATTGCTTCGGGGCTTATTTTTCATTTTGGCGTCGTTTGGTTGTGAATCACAATCTTGTGCTGTGACAATGATAGCAGTGCATGGTCCAGAAAATGTTTTTTGTTAACCTATGGAGGTTTGACTGATTTCCTGCGGACTGCAGATCCCGCCTGAGGATATTCGATGGGATGGCGAGGGTCCAGGAATGACTCATCGAGGAGGCCACGGAGGGCAAAACCGTGTCTATAGAAGATCCCAAAGCTTTGGCGGTCATGTTCATGGTGCTGGCAGAGGGAGAGGACACTCAAAGAGCCAATCCAGAAAGGAACTTTCTCCATCACAAAATGGTGTTGGAAAGAAAGTGCTGGATGATATAGAACTACTTGATACAGAGGCATTGGTAAAGGAGGTAAGCATATTGTTATTCGAAATAAACTGGTTAAAATTCAAACAGTGATATCCATCTGGTGATTTTGAACACCTACAGGTAGAGAAAGTTTTCAATGCAAGTAATCCCGATCCCGTGGAGCTCGAAAAGGCAAAGAAAATGCTTAAAGTATGGTCAATGCATCATGCTATTCCAATTCCTTTTTTTTCTCTCTCTCTCTCTCTCTCTTCCATCTTTCCTTTCTGTTACAAGGTAAATTGTTTCGTATTCGACGTGCAGGAACACGAGCAGGCTCTTGTGGATGCAATTTCTAGACTAACTTATGCATCTGATGGTGAAAGTGGTAATAAATATATGTGTACTTGATAATAGTTTCTCTGCATTCTGTTGTATATTTCATCTCTTCCTCGTTTGGGTAGAAAATAATCACTTAAATATGTTTGTATCAAGAAAGAACCTGGAACAGGTTTCAGTTGCCATTTCAAAATTTTTCATAATGCTCGAATGTATTTCCACTCCCATTCTACACAATAATGGCAGGATTCTTTTTACCCTTCTTTCATCTCGGTATTGAATTTTACACGTTTGTTCGTGCGAAGATAAATGAAGTACGGATTTTTTACCTTAAAGTTACACGACATCAGCCTCCAAAGTGCAAAAGGACTTGAGCAAAATTCGATTTCTTTTTTTCTGTACCTTTCTGTTCAATATTGTATACCAGATTTGTGAACCTGGTGGTTTGTTAAACTTTGTTATGGGGTGTTGGCTTCTTTTACCAATTGTTATATTAGCGAAATGGATGTTGTTTATATCTAATTATCTGTCTTCTTTTAATGGATATCAGAAGGAGCGCAGCCAAATTCTCATGGCCAATTACATGACAGAAACAATGATACTTGAGCTACCAAGAACAAGTGCCAGTGCCAGTGCCATCCTAAGAGCATTACAATTGCCAAATCTGAAGAAATGAAATGTCTACCATTATTTATTTGTACCAAAAATTATTCTATGTTAGTGGATCAAATTATTTTGTTTCTTTTTTTTCTTTATGGTTTTTTTCTTTCTGCCAGGGAGGGGAGGGGCTGCTTTTTTCTTATGTGTATCTAATATCTGTGGCACTAGATAGATTTGTAAGCAACATTGTGAAAATTTAGCACTCTCTATCTTGTAATTGCATTCTGGCTCTTTTCCAGCTGCATTGCTCTGAAATTTTCACGATTCTCCTCAATCATTGTGTTTTGCTGAAGTTGTATCAATCCAGTGAAAACTGCAAGCCAAAGTAAACATGAAAGTAAAAAGAATCAGGAAAATAATTTGAAGTGCTAGTAAATGAATTGGGTTTGGTGAAGAATCTGGGATTGAGGCTCTTTTATCTTGATGGAATTGTTCACATCTTATTGGAAACAGTTAATCAAACAAGAACAGTATAATTGCAAACCCAATGAGATGCTTCTAATGATCTGGGATTGGTTTATCCGCAAACAAATTCAGAATTCATATGACAAACATCTATTTTCCAAGCTTTCTAATGTTTATCAACTGCTAACTTCTGATCCAAAAAAAATCAACTGCTAACTGGCCTTCCCACCGTCCTTTCCCCTAAATAGAAACTGATCACGTTGATGAATGGCGACAACAGTGACTCCCCCATTTCCAGAAATGTATATTTATGCAACAATCATGCATGGAAATGATAAGGGATTGTCATATAGTTACTGTTCGAAATGCAATGAAAATGGAAAAAGTTTGGAATGAGCAAGAACACCACCATAAAGATGTTCATAAGTTTTGGAAGAGAAACATCCGGATGGCAAAGATTATAAAGACTATAACTTGAACGGATAAGGATCTACCAAAGGCAGGTATGAACCATAACTTCTAGACTTGTTTAGAACATTTTTTCCAAAACAATTAATGCTTTTGTTTTCAAATCTACTTATATGAACAGTGATGGCAGAGATTTATAAAGGTTAAAAGTAATTGTCTATTTAGAATTACTTCCACATGTTCATAGTTTTAGTAGGATGAACAATTTCAATAGTTTTCAAACGAATCCATGAAAAAGAAACTAAAAAACACAAGAAAAAAAACTTCTAAAAGCTAGTGAACCAATTATGTTTTCATTAACTTTACTTCTTAGATACAAGAAAACTGTTTTAAGAAATGACCTCCAACCAGCTAGTTCATTTTTAAAAACTTTTTTATTTGATATCCATAGTGTCTCTTAATTAATCTTAAGAGACAACCGCTTGACTATATTTGGTTGCTAAGGTAACTGTGACCACCATGGTTTGAACTCATTCTCTCTAACCTATTTACTATTTATATCAACCCCTTTTTACCCCTACCAGCTGCTTAATTACACACAAAATTTTAAGCCTTCGTTAGCACTTCGAGTCTAACAAGAGGACATAAAACACACAAGAAAACAGAATACAAATCCAATAATCCAAACACAACTCAGTCCTAGTTTCCAATTCAAATGAACTCTAGATTCCAAGAAAAGTTGTCCCTACCATTAGAGGAGATCACCATCTGAACAAATCTTCAACAAAATCCTCTTATGGATAAAGAATCTAAGCATGAACAAACCTACACAGATAACTCAATTAAAAACCATAGGGTGGAATCTGAAACAGATACCACCACAAAAAAAAATTATCCCTCTATTATCAAAAAAGAGGGGTTGAGTTGAGTTTCCCAATTCCAATGAACCGAGACTCAGACCAAAGAAAATAAAAAATTGTGTATGAAACAATCCTCCTCCACCTTCACCTTCAGCCCTCTCCATTATCAATATAGTAGTTCCCCTTTACTATGATAGGCAAGTATCACAACTCCAATCAAAACCTCTACACTCACGTCTTTCAGTTCCTATTGGAACTTCTTCTTCGGATTTTGACAAAAGAAGCAACAAAATCTTTGCATTTAAAAAGGACCAAGTGCTCCTGTCCCTTTCCTTTTTAGGGCTCCTACTACCCTATATTTTACATATCCATACGATTGAGTTCTTCGATTCTGAATCAGTGTAAAAAGATAGGCAAGTATCAAAACTCCAATCTGGCACATCTACCTCTTAAAGGAAAATATGGGAAGATTTGAAGGAACTTGGGTCACAAGTCAATAAAGGAGGGCAATAGTTTAAGATGTGTAATTACAAAAAAGAGCTACACAAATTGTTGTACTTGGCTCTCTTTCAACCAACCTATTAAGTATTAATTATGGAAAAGGGAATGGAATCAAAGAATGATGGATACACGTCTACAGCCAATAATCTATTGTCGAACACCCCCACTTATACCCCCAAATGCATGGATAATAAAGTACAGTTTCAACGAATTGAATATCATCTCAGTCAACTAAGATTAAATCAAGCAAGAAAATACCCCAAGGAAATCAAGTCCATGTCAAATGAAATAACATCCAAATCCAAAGGCTAAAGCACCACAAGATAGATTACTGACGATCGGAGCTAGAACGAGAGAACATAACGAAAAAGCTAGTAAAAAAACAATCAAACTAGAAAAATTGGATTTGCTATCGAGCTACCCATCAAGTCAAATACCACTCCAAGTCCAGTCGAAAGGGGAAAAATCGAAATTCGAAATTCAAAACAACCAAATATCCACAAAACAGACAGGGAAATGATGAAACAAACCTGCAATCGAACCCACCAACAAAAATGCGAGTAGCGCAGAGTTGGAAAGACTTTTTCCAAGGAGTCATCTCATGAAGGCGAAAATTAGAGCAACAATGAGAGGCTAACTAGATGATCTTGCCTTTAGCCTCTCGAATGGATCGCTGCAACTGGAAAATGACAAGAAATTGGGCATAACCGATGGACCGACACCATGAAAACGTCCGAAGATCCATGCCCAGAAATCTTGTCTGTAAATTGAAATTGAAACTGAAATTGTGCGTTACTTGATCGAATTCTCCTTGCTCGTAATCAAAGTGAAAATCCCGATGAGAAGTTAATCAAATGTTGGAGAGAGAGAGAGAAGAGAGAGGAGAGAGATGGGATGGACATTGAAGTGCAGCTGACGCTAAGATTAGGGGAAGAAAATGAAATGTTTTATTTTGAACCGATCCTTGAGCTTCAGCCTTGAGGATTGGTCGATATGTCGTTTTGATTTTGAAATTCATGATCAATGGTAAAGGTTAAAGTTTGTTTATTTCTCACCATTTTTAACAACATTGTGGTTGTAGTTGTAGTCATTCATTCAAGGAAAATGTAGTTTGATAAAGGATATTGAATTTAGTTAAAAATATTTTATTTCTAAATTTTTATAAATTCCTATTTCGTTCTTCTATTGTATTGTGTGTTAATGGACGGGATTGTTCGAGATGCGGAGTTAGACGGTCCGTGCATTTATGTATGGTTTGATTCTTCAAACCATATATGCGAAACATCATGATCTAATGGTACGTGTTAGTGAAGGATAATCTTTGTTTTTTTATATATTTAAATTTTTGTGATTTTTTTTTAAGTTTTTAGTATCACTAGAAAATATAACTAAAAAACAATCAAAGTAGAAAAAAATGGAAGTGTTATCTTTCGATTGCAGCTGTTAGTATCAAGTCAAATATTATTGTTACTTATAAGGAGAGAAAAAATTGAAATTCAAAACAATTTTGAAATATATAGAGAAATGATGAAACAAACTTGCAATTGAACCCACCAACAAAAATAGAGTGGTGCAAAGTTTGCTGACTTTTTCTAATGAAGTATCTTATAAGGTGAAAATTACAACAACCAATAAATGTTTTGCCTTTGCGCCTCTCGAATAATTGCAACAACTGGAAAATACTGGGCATGACAATAAATTGGTGACCGATAAACTAACACCATGAAAACGTTTGAAGATCCATGCTCATAAACCACGACGGTAAAGAAACTTGCATGAAATGCAAGAGTTTCGCGGGAATTGTCTTGATTGTCGGATATTATTGAGAAATAGAAAAAAGTGGTATCAAATAGTTTCCTTACCTTTTTTCTAGTATCGAACAAATAAAAAATCTTGCAACAACAAGTCTCGATCTATACGAAACACCCTGGGGCTTTTAAGAGCACTACCTATATATACCAAGCGTTTCCGTGATTGACTAATAGTTTCTTAAGTCAATATGCCTTCAAAATATAGTAACTAGAAGACTGCTATTCTGGGCTCGCTTAGTTTCTTTAAGATCCCTCCCTCATTGAAAACAAAAGCGCTAACATACCAACTATTTTCTAGTAAATCAAGCAACTTTTCGCTCTCAACGCTCACCTTTCTTGTTTGGATGGAGGAGCTAGGGTTCGCTTAACCAGATTCACGAAATTTAGATCTTTCTTGCATGTAAATATATCAATTGAGAAAGCACTCGATTGTTGAAAGGCCATATTATTTTGATTTAAATAGTGTGTCACTTAATTTGAATTTCCTTCATTGAAACATGTCGTTGATTTCAAACGATATATATTTACTTCATATTTTAGCTTTAACATCCGATAATTTCAATTTGGTCTCTTTAATGTTTTATACCTTTTATATATATATAGGTACACACACTTATATACTTCATATTTTAGCTTTTAAATTGTTATATATGAGTTTGTCATTTTAACTTATAGTTTGCTGATGAGATTCAACAACGATGTGTCTTGATATAAGTTAATCGAAAATAGATGGATGATGCGTCCCTTGTGTATGAGCGTGATTCTTCATAATTTAGATGATGAAACATCACCAATCTAACGGTTGATATGTGCTAGTGAAGGATAATATTTCTTTTTCTATTGTGTCCTTTATATGCAATAAAACGATTCATGTCAGTGTATATAAAAATAAAGAAAATTGTGTCGAAACGAATACTTCAAAATCTATAAATTTATTTTTAAAAAAAGTTAAGAGATTTATTTTAGTCGTGGAAGAGGTAGAATATAACTTTGTTAGAGATATATATTAATTACTACCAAACTATACTCAATTTGACATATTTGATGTTAATCAATAGATTTTTAAATTGTTGTAGTTACTTGTATGGATAAAAAATTCAAGTGATAGTTAACATTTGTATATACCAATTTATACACTAAATTAAAATATTCGTGTGTGTGTATATATATATATATTTTGCAAAGGCAATATTTTTAATTTTTGTCACGTTACATCTACTTCATGATGTAAATTTATGTAATTATTATGTAATACGTGGGATAGATGAATCAAAACAGCTACGATCTTGAGGGAACAAGTTAATGATCCTACATTGAAAATAAAAAAAGACCTAACAAAAGGTTTATAATAAACATGGACTACTCCTGACATTGGCAAACCAAAAACTTTAACACTGCCAATACAAAATATAACTAATATAAGAAAAAAAAAAATTCAAAATTAACAATTTTTGTTCGTTCTTAATCTATGAGAACTTCCATGGCAACGAGAATAATATGCAATGTTTAGGCGTAACAAATTTCATACATTCAAAACAGTTAAAAAGAAATGTATATATTATATTTGAACATTTTTTTTAGTTTTAAAAAAATCAACATTTTTAATTTTTATTTTATTGTCTATTTTATTTTAATGATGTAAAACACAGTATTTACGTAGGGGGAAAGTATTTTTGAATAACACAAACATGTCAGATTTTATTCATTTAGGTATAAAAAAGAAGCATCATAGATATTAATTTAAAGATGTGTCTAGTTTTATAAATAAATAAAAAATTGTTAAGAAATAAAGGGATATATTATTAAATTATTTGTCTTATTAATATATTTAAGGATAAATTACACAAATCACCTTAAAGTATGGTAGTTGCTTTAATTACATCTCTAAATTTTCAATGGTAAAAATGAAACCCTCAAACTTTCATAAATGATAAAACTGGACCCCGAACTTTCAATGATAAAAATTAAACATTCATCTTTCAATTTGAAATTTGTACCCTAAACTAAAGTCAGAATCCTTAAAAAAGAAAAAAAAATTGATGTATTATTCTCTATTTCTCTCTCATATTTACGATCATGATTCATAACCACCACTTAGATTTTGAAAGTTATGAGGTTATGGTGAGGTTTACTTATTGTCCAACCATCTAGTTATCAAATTTTTTGGAGCTATTTTATAAAAATTCGAGGTTTAATATTTATCACTAAATGTTTAGAGATCAACAAAGTTTGAGGTTCAACGATAAAAATTTAGGGGTATAAATTTTTAAAAAAAAGTGGTTTATGCAATTTGCCGTGGAAGATAAAAAGAAATCTAAAAAATGAAGAAAATTGAGAAGAGAATATATTATACTTTAAATGCTATAATCTCGGATAATATAATATACTTTACTTGCTATAATCTCAACACAATGTTGTGGAACATAAAAATAAAAAATAGTTTTAAAAGATAAATATACCAAATTGATATTCAATGAATTTGAAGTAAGGGAGCAGAATAAAAGCAAATTTACGTCTATATTAAAAAAATGAAAATAGAGATTTAGATCAAATTTATCTCCTTAATTTTATACATATTATTTTGAAACAAGAAAATTCTATATTTAAATATGTTATGCATTGGGAAAAAGAAAAAAGAAAGAGAAAAAAGGCAAGGTGGGTATTTTTTTCCGTGGGGTTAAAAATTAATGGTTCATATACAAAAGAACACAAAAATTCCCGAATTCCGAACGCTGCCTCACCAGTTTCGCTCACTTTCCAGCCGTCGGATCATATTTCAGTGGATCACGGACCGTAGATCGAGGGTTTTATCCAGAACCACCGCCGTCGCCGGAGTTCGAGGAGCGGCGGAGGCGATGAAAGTGGAGCTGCCAAAAACAAGGATTGTATTTCAGGAGCTCACTCATTCGGATCTGAGACTCACGCGCAGTGGATCTCTTCTACGCTTTTCTTTTTTTCCAACTTCAAAAACCCTACACTCCCCCCTCTGAAACGGCCCACTTCAGGTTTCGCCATCTTCAACCTCGTTACCAACTCTGGAACTCGCATTTTCTTGCTTTTTATGACTCGTTTTTCGTTTATAATTTCAGATATTTAGGATATTCTTGGTGAAAGATCGAGGGTATTGTGGAGTAGAAACAAGTTGTAGCGCCATGGTAGATTATTTGTTTTCGTTTTCGTGTGTTTGGAGCTTTGTTTGGTTGCGAAGAAATAGTCGGAGTAGAGGAAAAGAAATGAACGTATGTAATCCCTGTCACTTCCTAAATTTGTTTTTGTTCAGACGTAGTGAAAATGATTCTTTGAGTTGAGCTGAAAACTGCAGTTTCTCTGTTGTTCTTATCTTTCGGAAACAAATAGAAGATGGGTTTTGAAAAGAAACGAAATTAATAGTTACCCACTGTGGCGCGTAGAGACGTGCAGAGGAAATCACTTGTTGTTTGGAACTATTTCGGTTGCTTCCCTTTATGGGACATGCTTAGTTTTTCCATCGTGTAGACGCGAAGTGTTATCAGAGCATGTTGTCAGCTATCGCTAAAATGCACAAGAAGAAATGATGAAATTGATAATATTCGAGCAGTATTCTTCATTCATCCCTTGCGATTCTGCAATATCTATGCTGCTTTAAAAGTAGAATTGTGACTAAGTCAGCATTTGGCGTTGGACTTCGTTTTCGGGCATAGTTATCAAAATGTGTCTATCTGTTTAATATTTTGAGGTTTTGGTTTTGATGAATTATTTTCCTAGTGATTGAAGGACTAAGACTGTTAATTTTTAGCATTCTAATAACCATTCTAAAAATGTCATCGAGAAGTATTTAATTTCTTGGCATCAATTGTATCTAAAATTAATAATTTTAGCCAATTTTGAATTGACATTCGCATGCTTGTCTAATTATTTGCAGGGTTCTTAAGTTGTGTAGCCAGCATATTATCAATACAGGAAAGCTATGGCATCTAAAGGTCCCAGGTCTAAACTTGATCATGAGACAAGAGCCAAGCGCCCAAAGGTATTACACCTCTTTCAGGGGAAACAAAATTGAGATTACATAGGGTAGCTGCTTGGTTTGGATCTCGTCCTCTCTCAATCTATTTATCCATCCATCTACTCTTTCACATTGGATGATGGTTGCTAGGTTTTGAATGCACAAGTATTATCCAAGACTCTTAAACAACTCTTACTATTTCTTTGTCAACTCTTGATGTTATGATGGTTCTTTGGTATTTCAGATACTTGAAGCTCCAAGAGAACCTCATCGACCTAAAACACATTGGGATCATGTTTTAGAAGAGATGGTTTGGCTTTCAAAGGTAATTAACAAGACATTAACTTAAATATACTTTGAATAATTTTTAATCACATATAATTCATCCTATCATTTTTGTAAAATTTCTTTTAAAAGGATGTTAAGTGAACAGAAGTTGGGCTTTTTGGATAAATTTCCATTCTTTCATTCATACAAGGAAATTGGTTATTTGCAGGACTTTGAGTCTGAGCGGAAATGGAAGTTAGCTCAGGCAAAAAAGGTTGCTTTAAGAGCTAGCAAAGGCATGATAGATCAAGCTACAAGGGAAGAAAGGAAGTTGAAGGTTCTAACCTCTATTTGATTGGAAATATTTTTGTTGGTTTTCAAACAAAACAACTATGGCTTAGAATGAACAAAAACTCTAGGGAGTTGCTTGATTGTATTTCTAAATTTATCTGAAACCTGTTTTGTGAACTGATTTTTAAAACTGTTTTCTATTACTTTTAAACTTAGAATTGTTTCTTAAATTATATTTTATTCTTGGGTTTCGTTTATTTCATCAAAATTTAACTTAGACAGCAATAAATAAAATACATGAAAACAAAAAAAATGTTTTTTAAATTAAGAGAACTACTTTTACAAACTATCATGTGTGATATATCACGCTAAACAAATTTTCTGATTAAAAACTGTTTTTTTTATTTGTACTTTTAAAAAACAAAAAAATTATTAAGCCCTTGTGTTGATGTAGTCCAAGGGATCACAATTCTTTATGCATGAATTTCTATTTTTCTCAGGAAGAAGAGCAGCGGTTGAGAAAACTTGCTCTCAATATTTCAAAGGATGTAAAGAAGTTCTGGGTGAAAATAGAAAAGCTGGCAAGTTCATCTACAAAATTCTATCTTTTCATAGCATAGCCCATGATTTGTTTTGGATGATTAGTTTTTAATTTTCTTCAGAACTGGAACTGATCAGGTTTTAATTTCAGGTGCTTTACAAGCATCAGATGGAGCTGGATGAGAAAAAGAAAAAGGCACTCGACAAACACCTGGAGTTTCTTTTAGGGCAAACAGAAAGGTGTTTGATTTGATCTCACTACTAGGCTTGGTCTTGGGTATTGGGGGAAGGGGGGTTATTTCGAATGCATTATGCACAAAATTTTTTGAATCCTTATCCTTGTGCATTATCGCCTAATGAAGTCTAATACCTTCTTCTTGCTATTTTAGGTACTCAACAATGCTGGCAGAAAATCTTGTGGAAACTCATAAACCTTTGCAGACGAATTCTTCACATGGGCTACACAATGTTCACTTCCAAGAAAGGGATGAAAACAGAACTGTTGATGAACCCCCAGAGTTTAATGATGGTACACTGGAAATTGTGATATTCCATGTTTTATTACCTCATAAAAATGGTATAGTCTTTAAGTTGAAATTGATGTGAATATATTTCACAGAACACGAGTCAGATTTTGTGGACTTTGATGAAGAATTTGATTTAAGATCAGAAGATGAATCAGTAAGTCCACTTTTCCTCTCTCCACAGTATTCATAGTAATAATTTTATTATTATTATTATTATTTATTTTTTTGTATTAGAGCTTTGTTTGTCTTCAGATGTCATTATTTTCAATTGGCACATAATTTTGGTGGTTTGCTTCCTCCCTCTTTCTTCTTTTTACCTTGGTATTTTTTCGGGGAGAGAGAGAAATAATGTTCCTACCTCTTGTGGACATTGAATGACTTTAACCAAAGAGTTGAAAAATATGGATATTGAACCACCAGAGGTTGATCAAGTTGTCGTTGGGCAAGTAAAGAACTTTGGGGGTATATGTTAAAACCCGGTAGGAAATTAATAAAAATTAAATCCTAGAGTGATCATCTACCTAGATATTAAAATCCATTACAACCAAATATTGAAGGGCCGTGTTTTCTTTCTTTTAAGAAAGACATTGTGGAAGGTAGGTACATGTCTTGTGTGATCAGTTGATGTGTGTAAGTTTGTTAGGATACCCATAATAGAAAAAAAGAGAAGGAAAAAGAAGATGATGAAAGATATGAATGCTGTTGGTAGCCTAAACCTTGTAGTGATAGCTGGATTTTGATCATGCAATTGGATCCAATAGGTTTTAGGTAAGAATACTTGAGCATATAAAATATTTTCAATTTTCGTGAATTTTGTTTCTTTGAAATTCATATGTTAGCTTGGGCTTTACTTTGATTAAAATCCATATAAACTTTCGAGATCATGAATTCAATGGGGCATAATTTTCCAACACAACTAGATTCATCGCCATACTTGAGTGTTTTACATGCTTAAATTTCAATTAGATTAGATAATCTTTCTTGATATCCATTGAATTTGACAGTACTTGCTTAGAGATCCGTTGGAGGTTTGAATTGTAGTGTCTGATGTCAATAGTGTTTGGTACCTTATATTTTGCTTTTGCATTTTCTTACAAGTAATATGTTCTTTCACAAATGTTTTAGGAAGATAACGAGCATACCATTGATGAAGACGAGGCCCTGATAACTGAAGAAGAAAGGCAAGAGGAATTGGAGGCTTTGCACAATGAAGTTGATCTTCCTCTTGAAGAGCTTCTTAAAAGATATAAAGGAGAGAAAGGTGCACGGTGAAACATTATCTTTATTTTTATTTTTTAATCATGAACTTGACAGGCCAAGTTGGTTTCTGATTAGTGGGTGGATAAGTTTGGGACTAATTGGTTTCTGGTTACTGGGCAACTAAGTTCAACTAGACTGACTTTCTTTCTGAAATTTCTTTCAGAAATAAGGATGCTGAATGATTGCTAGCTTTCTTGACCATTCTTTATGAGATCCTTCAATTCTCTCTAGATGAGGGGCCTCCTCAATATCTTCAGGCTTTTCTAATAAGGCATCTAGGTTGGAAGTTAATCTTAATAGATGTAGTGTGGACATTAATGGATGATGTAGTTAAACTGGCAACTGACTATTTTGGTTATAGCATTGGTTGTTTGGCTGGTAGCTTACCACGATTCCAAGGAGTAGTTCATTTGGAGGCCCTGATTGAAAGGATTTCCAAATAAGCTCCTAAATTTATTTTTATTTGGGAAGGAAACATGTATTTCCTTGATGTGTGAAATAATACATAAGAGGGAAAGATTCCCTAGAGCCCAAAAATGGAGTTACAAAAATAGCATCCATTTGGTTAAAATTAAAGTAAGACTATAATCTGAGAAAGGATTTTTGCGTTTACACCAATAAAACTCCATAAATATAACTGAAGGTATAAAAGATTCAAAGGAGATTCTGGTCGTTCAAATAAGCTCCTCAATTTGAGGAATGCTCCACTTTCTACCGGAAGTAAGCTCACCTTTCACAAGTTGTGCTCTCAAACCTACCAACTTGGTTTCACTTGATTATTCTGGCTAGCTTGGCGGAGAATCTTCTCAGACTCTTTAGAAATTACCTTTTGCCTTTTGAAAGGGTCAAATGTGAAAGGTTGTTTCCACCTGCTGAGCTGGAAAATTGCCTTTCTGGGGATCTTAGAAGTTTAGAATTTTAAGAAGGGAGGGTTCTCACTCGTTTCTGACAAGTGGTGGTTTGGAGGTTTCCTGTTGAACTTATGGTCCTTCAGCATAAAATTGTTGCAAATATGGGGCTTTTCGAGAAGTTTGGTTTTGGGTAGTTGCCAATTTGCTAGTGGTCGAAGCCTGTGGAAGAGAATTTATGCTTTGAGAAGTGTGATAGAAAAGAGATCTAACTGTGTGTTTGAGACTGACAGAAGATTCAAGTTTTGGAAGAATTCTTGACAGGAGGGTCAAATTCTGTCCAATACCTTTTTGGAGGAGTTTGAAATTTGTGATGGAAAAGTTTGGATAGTGGAAGATTGTTGGAAAAGGGGGCTGCTGACTTGTGGTTTTTAACCCTAGAAGAAATTTGGATGGTTATCATCTTACTGATACCACTTGAATTGTTTCTTTACACCAAGTCCTTGTTTTTCAATTGGGCAATTGGTTAAGCAATGTTACCTCCATCCTCATGCCCAACATATGGATTTAAATGTGTCAGGTGAAAATCATGGATTTTTTGTGTACTTTGTTGTTTATAGAGGGTTAAGCATACATACATTTTTTTTTAACAAGATACACACATATAGAGGGTTAAGCATACATGATTGATCAATGTCAAGTTTCCTAATGTTGTTTTATCCTCCAGCTGGTTCACCTTTGAAAATTTGCTGTAAAATTAGTTGATCAGTTATTTATTTATTGTGTGAGACTTATTTTCATTAAGATGGATGAATGTACAAAAAGAGAGGTCACCCAAAAATTGTCTGCCTTAAACTACATCCTACTTTCAGGCTGTTTTTGTGGGTCTGGTGGAATGTTGATTCTGTCTTTGCTGCTAATGAGATTTTGAGCAGTGGAGGAAGAGGTTTTACGAGGGCTTTCTATTTAAATTGGATCTCGAGAAGGTATAAAGTGGATTGGTTGGTACTTGCTATTAGCTATTCTAGAGATCAAAGGATCTGGGGACAAACAAAAATTTAAGATTGATTTATATCTCCTTTACAAACTTTTCTATTATTCTAAATGGAAAGCCTGAATGAAATACATGGCTTCTGGGGTCTTACAACAAAGGTGTTCCTTTTTTGTGGTGTTGTGTGTGTGGGGGGTGGGGGGGCAGTTGGGTCCTCGTTGTTGTTGCTAGTTGAATATTATCTGATGGTTTTCAATCTGGATTTGTCAAAGGATTCAACATACGAATAGAAGGTGCATATGAATCATATCATTCACAGTTTGCTGGTGACAACCTTCTTTCATTGATGGAGCTATCTGAATTAAGTAATCTCTTCAAGATTGTTTTATTTTGAGAAGGCTTTTGTTATCAAAATCAATTTCGTGAAGGTGACTGTAGTCGGCACTAAATTCCATGGATTCATGACAAAGAGGTGGCAGACAGTTTTGGCCACAAGGTTGAATCTAGCCCGGTGTACTTGGGGTTTCCTCCATTAGGAAATCAAAAGTCTTAAGGATTTTTGGTTGTCAGGTTTTGGAAAGAATCTCGTGTAAGCTTGGGAGGGGAATACATGCTGATTTCCATTGGTGGTAGGCTTACTATAATCCATTAGGTCCTTTTCAACCTTGCAAATCTTTCTCACGATTTCCTCTGTTTTCAAAGGCAGCCGTGATGTTATGAAGGTAACGAAAGAATCATGAGAAAATTCTTATGGAAGATTCAAATTCAGAAGGAGGATCTTATTTTGTTAATTGGAAATACATTTATATTCCAATTAATGAGGGCTGTCTTTGCGTCAGTGATATCAAGAATAGGCTCTTCTCTTTTGATACAACATGCCTTTTGGTGTTAGATTGTTGTAAGTTTCGCATAGCTCCTAGGGCTTGGTTTCCGGGCAGTGGTAGATTTTCTTAACTTAGGAGACTGAAGAAGGCTGTTTTCAACATTAAAAATCTAGTTGCTGAAAGGATTTATTTTGTGATGGGAGATGATAAGGGATGCTGGATTACACGATGACCTTGGATCTCAACTTTAAAGGGAATTTGATGAAGTGGTGGAGTGGAAGACTTTCTTTTTTT